TAGGCTTAAAAAAAAAAAAAAAAAAAAGGTCATTTCAGGTCATTTCCAGGTAATAAATAGTATATGAATAATGCAGTGCTAATTGACATAACATTTTTTTATAGTATAGAAACTATTCTGCCTTATTATGTGTTTGTATAAACCAATCCTAAAATTGTCATTAGGAAAATACAGAAAAAAATATTATAGAATACAAATGATTGGTTATCGTCCAGCAGTGTATTTGATTTCTTAGCCAATTAAAAGACAAAAAAATAAAGCCTGTCAATTAGACAAAAGTAAAAAGTTGTTCGTTTTTTTTTTTTTTTACATTTCTGTCCCCCTCATTTTTAAAATGATGGCTACACCCCTATGTGTGCAGTACAGAAAACAGTGCACGAGTCTTCTTGTGCTTGAATGGTTTAATGCCATATTAAAACGCGCACAAAGGAATTGATAAGAGGAATCGAAATTTAAATTTTTTGATTCCCAAGCCAAGGTTAAATAAAATGCTCTTTTTTTGTCCTACCGAAAATGTGCCTGGAGTCCACCTTTGTTATTATAACAAACTACACTTTCAATGTGATTTTAAACCATTCAAGTCAAGTAGACTCGCGGGCTGTTTTCTCTGCTGCACACACATCCTTGTGTAAGTGTTCTTTAGTCTGCTGATTTTCATTCATATTATTCAGCTAACTATGACATATTTTGTAATAAGATGATATCTAAGATTTTTTATTATTTATTTATTTATTATAGTGGAGTGCCTCCACTCAAGCAGTCTCTCTCTCTCTTACTGTGCAAATGATTTTTTGACAGTCTCACCAAACTTTAACTTAGACTATAATATCAAATTCATTACAACATAGAACCCTTCATCATTCAAAGAGGTTAAAAATGTCAAAGTTTATATATCTCAAATCTCAATTTAGACTATTTAAAATACATTATGCTAGGAGCATTTCTTAAAATCATTTTTACCTCAAATGCGTAGTTCCCTTAACCTTTGTTATCCAAGCCATCTCTTGATTCAGCAAAAGCTGTCTTCATTTTTAGCCACCACCATGTCTTGTAATTATCCTATGCCATGCCTAAGGACCTGCATCAGTAAAAACTGTGATATAGACATATTAGTTCAATATCATCTCAGCCTCATACATTCAGGGATTAATCATAACTCTGCATAGGAGACTTGTCATACAGTTCTTGCCAGTAAAGCAGACACTTCATGATCCTGAAATAAATTAAGAAATTTTGTCTCAAAATAATGGCTGGTCTCAGATGGTTCTTGAAAGCCCATTGCCATTAACTCTTCATAAATAAGCTCCTTTTCCTCAAGGTGTGATCCCCTGGCATATATAGTTGCATCAAGTTGTGGACGCTTGTCACAGTGAAAAACAAGCCATCAAGGAATGCGGTTGCTGGTGATCAGGTCTGGAGGAGCTCACATTTTTGAGGCAGATTGCTGTACTTCCTACAGTTCCCCCCTTAATGATGCTCTAGGCCTATCAAGCATCCGCTCAACTCTGCTACCATCTCACATATAACACCTCCCTTCTGGGCAGGTGCCCAGTGGCGGTGACCCCCTGCCTTAGGTTGTCCTCTCCTTGGCCAAAAGATGATCTTACCCGTCATTGAGAAATCACCTCATGCACACTGGTAACCGCTCATTCCCGCTGCGACATCCTCGACAGTTTTCTTCCAGAATCTGGTATTTCCTGCAGCTTAGGAAAGGTGCACTCAAGAACCATGAGAGCCATTGACACCACCTACTAGTGTTAAAACATTGAGACAGGTTAATCACACTAATATTTAATCACTAAAATCAATTGGATATCTTCAAACCATCATGCTGAGATTACTCAGTGAATTTAGATTTCACACCCGTCCATTCAGTGTAATGTTTTGCTACTTCTGTAGCCGGAGCCATCGGGCCCTTTATGATGGTGGAGACTAAAATTAAGACAGATAAGTTACTAGTCATAGAACAAGCAGCAATACAACTGTTTAACTATTCAAAATCATTACCTCTATAGTTCAGGGTCTGTATTATGATTTTAAAGACCTCATGTCTCTTCAACAATAGCCCCTTGATTGTTATTGTCTTTTTACAATCTCTTATTTCTTAAATGCATTGGGCAGTTGAAACATTTAACTACCAATTGCCCTCTTAATGCATAAAATCTGAACTCCTTGTAGCATGTCCTTTAACATCTCAGGGTCTATGATTTTCAACTGAAACTCTGTGCTTTACTACAAATAGCTTGTTATCACTTATGACACAGGCTCAGATAACAGCATTTAGCTCACTTTGAATGAGAGAGAGAACTCTGAGGGATTCAGGACTGGTAGAAATGCATTTTCATTAGCTTTTAACAATTTCATTGTACTATCGCTTTACACTAGCCCAGCTTAAAACTCATCAGAAATGACATGCATTTTCAAATAAACATCTCTA